TCTCTCTCTCTCTCTCTCTCTCTCTCTCTCTCTCTCTCTCTCTCTCTCTCTCTCTCTCTCTCTGTGTGTGTGTGTGTGTGTGTGTGTGTGTGTGTGTGTGTGTAGGCACACACTTGCTCTGGTGAGTGTGCAGAGGTCAAGAGGATATCTTAAAAAAGTTGGTTTCCCTTCTCCCATTTGTATGGGTCCTGGAGTTAAACTCAGGTCGTCAGGCTTGTCAGTAGGTGCTTTTACCTACTAAGCCATCTTGCCAGCCCTAGAATCTGGCTGGACCAGGGGTGCCCGTTACCCTGCCCTCCACAGTTCCTGCTCCACAGTAATGTGTCACCAGTAAGAGCTATCATATGTCACACCATACCCTCTTTGAGATTGTTGTTTCCAGCTACACTAGAGCTGTGTGGCCCAAGGTCATATATTTTGGTACCACTGTTGTGCATTCAGCACCAAATGCAGCACAAGGTAGAACAGACAGCCAGTACAGTTACATCTGCCCCATCAGCAGTGCTGAGGGTACCTGTCCTAACTGTATTGCTCCAAGCGTTAAGTGCTCTGGTCTTCCATTTCACGAGACTCATAGTGTGTGTGGTTTTTGTTTTTGTGTTTTGTTTGTTTGTTGTAATGTGGATAGACTCATTGCCATTCTCGATGTACTGAAAATTATCCTTGGGGGTGGGGGTTAGTTTCTTCAGTATTTCAGATTGTATTTCAGGCTGTAAGCAAAACATTGGCATCCCAATTGGTCTAATCAATGTGAGTTTTGATTCCTTGATCAATCAGTTCGCTCTCACATGGCCACTTTTAACACGACGAAGTCTTTATTATTCCTATTATTTATTATCATCATTATCCTTATTAGTAAACAGTTTCTCCCTTGGAGAATTTGGGTCAGTCATACTTCTTGCTTTCCTCTTTAAGGAAATTAATGGTGGAATATTGAAAAATTAGTAGAAGTGTTTAAAATTTACCATTGAAGAATTTTCCTGCATGAATCAAATGGGCCTGCTACTCATCTACCCTTTCCAGGTCACTTGAAGTGAGGGTCTGTGCAGCAGTTGGAAGCTTTGGGGTCAAATCTACTATTTTTAGTGGGTTTGTTTGTTTGTTTGTTGTTGATTTTTTGTTTTTGTTTGTTTTTATGAGGAGACAACATAGCTTTATGGATTTTTAACTTTTGTATCAAAATACATTTGTTGTTGGAGAAAGATGTTGTCTATGGTATATTTTTAGGTGAACTAAAACGGGTTATCTAACTGTATGGCCCCACAGAACTCTGTGTATGTTTTTGTGTGCACTCAGACAGATACTTAGACATAGGAAACCTAGCGTATGTGTATGTTAGCATATCAACTTTACATGCTGTGTGAATTTAAATATATATATATATATATATATATATATATATACACATACATTTTTTTTCAAATTGTAATTTATACTCATTCACACATGGGTTGTAAACACAAAAAGGCAGGACATGGGGAAGGGGATGACACTGGAGCGTGGGTGCTCAGGGGGAATACAGATATTTTTCAGAACAGGGTATCGGCTGGGTGAGCGTTCAGGGGATAGGTCACTATGACTCTGTCTATGACTCACTTGTCCTTATCTAAGTTGGTAATATCTGCCAAGGCTACCTAATTACAAGGTCTATGACTACTCAGGCCGGTAAATTGTCACAACTGCCTGTTTACAATAGCTTATAGCCATCTGTTTATGTGTTTATCCACAGAGACCCAAGACTTGGTGTTAGTATACATGTATGACAGGTCTATTGCTGATTTTAGGCCTTCAGTGTGTAAGCAAGGATGCCCCTGACATCTCCTCCCTTCTCTAAGTATAGACGGGCTGTGGTGAATCTAATCTTGCGAAGGCGGGGATAGAGGCCTGACCTCCAGTAATTGAAGGGGACCTTGTAATGGCTCTGGTCCCCCTGTTGTTGTCCAGTGAGGCATGAGGGCCATACCCGTCCCGATGTCTTTTTCCCGGAGAGGGGATACTTTTGACATCAACCCCTATGCAGTCAGGCTTGTCCCTCAGGGAACCCAGAGAGATATTTTTAACTTTTATTGATATTCCCTTGCAGTGCTTAGCCTCACAGCCTAAGCAAGAATTCAGATCACCTGTCAGAGGGGGTTCTGGGTGGCCCCTCTCTGCCTGGTCTTGGGTGGAAGTCCCCTCTTTTAGGTTGGGTGGAGATGGGTTTTGGGAACACCCTGGATAAAGTAACAACCTCATCTTGAGTCTCGAGGTCCTCCATAGCTAACTTATGATAATGTATCTGAATAAGTTTTGCTACCAAATTATTTATCTGTGGTTTCACAGAGTTAGTCAGCCTATTTGAGGCCCAGGGACCAGAAGAAATAAGCAAAAAGAACCCAAATAATGGTCCCAAGATGAGAGGAGGTACAGTTGACAACTCTGGAGAGGTTGAAAACCAATTCTTGTACCAGCACTCATCTTTCTCTTTCTCTCTCTGACTTTTCTCAGGACCTTCTCTGACCTTTTTCATGCTCTCTTTAACCATCCCTGTCTTGTCTATGTAAAGGCAACATTCTTCTTTAAGGGCTGTACACAGTCAAGAGCTGTACACAGCCTTTTCTATTATAATAGAGTAAATCAAGTCCAATAAGGATCTTTGTGATTTTAGGAGGTCTCTTCAGACAGTGAAAGAGGGATTTCTTCAGATTAGTGATGTCAATCTCTAGCTGTTTGATGTTCTTGCCAATGGCCCTTCAAAGGTCTGAGTAGTATAAGTTCGGAGGCCAGCATCTGGATTAGAACTTCTAACAGCAGACATCACGGGTGATTCATTTTTACCTGGAAAGGAAAAAGAAGGGAATTCTCAGGGAGATTTCTCTTCCCTGGATGTAAATTGTTATTCATCTTATTTATGGTTGGGCCTGGCTTTGTAGGGGTATCTATTTATTTCATTAATCTTTTTGGTAGCCAGTTAGCTGTGCCTTCTGTGGTATCAAACAGGCATATCAATCCTCAGCCCCATAAGGGAACTGGGTCTGGGCCATTCCCTTTAAGGGTAAGAGGGTCCTTCCCCATATCTGTGGCATAGTTTTTATTGGTCTCGGTGATGCCAGAGGCAGTCAGCAGCAGATATGCCATGAGCTTTCAGTTTTAGAGGGTTATAAGTGAACAAGGCATGATGGAGAGTATTTCAGGGGAACTCCTTTTGGAGTGGGGGTACCATTCCCCCTCTTTTGTTTTTAAAGCCAATTTTTCAGGGTTCTTGTAAAATCAAGGCAGAAGCACCAACTGTTGCTCCTTCCACACTAAGAGAGTCATGCAGACATTATTTAAAGAAATATAAATCTATATTAATAATCTCTTTTATCAAAGGACTGTTATAGCACAGCCGACAACTAATCAGACTATATAATATATCGATTAACAATAGCTTCTTCTACTTTTTGTGAGATTACTTCTCTTTTGTCAATTAATTGTTGAGAGAAATTAGGATTTACACCTCTCTTGAGAATATTAAACAGAGACTTAAATTCTTTTGTGGAGAGCTTAAAATAAGTTCTTAGCCAGTTAGCATCTCCTAGAAACCTTTGAAAATAATATGAATTAAGTAAACTCTCTCTCTTTTTTTTTCAGACCCTTTATCTGTTTTTTTTAATTGGATATTTTACATATTTAACTTTCAGTGTTATCTCCTCTCCCACTCGCCCCCAAAATTCCTTATCCCATACCCACTCCCCCTATTTTTATGAGGATGTGCTCCAAACAACCTCCCAGTCCCATCTCCCTGCTCTCAAATTCCCCAACACTAGGGAATCCAAACTTTCGGGGACCATGGCCCTCCACTTCCACTGATGTCTGACAAGGTCACCCTCAATTACCTATACAGGTGGAGACATGAGTCCCTCCCTTTGTGCTCTCAGGCTGGAGGTTTAGACTTTGGGACCTCTGGTTGAAACTTTTGATACTCCTTCTAGAAAGGACCAAAGCACCCACATTTTGATCTTCCTTCTTCTTCTTGAGTTTCATGTGGTCTGTGCGTTGTGTCTTAGGTATTGTGAGTTTTTGGGCTAATATCCACTTATCAGTGAGTGTATACCATGTATGTTCTTTTGAGATTTGGTCACCTCACTCAAGGTAATATTTTCCAGCTCCATCCATTTGCCTAAGAATTTCATGAACTCATTGTTTTTAATAGCTGAGTAGTACTCCATTGTATAAATGTACCACATTTTCTGCATCCATTCTTCTGTTGAAGGACATCTGGGTTCTTTCCAACTTCCGGCTATTATAAATAAGGCTGCTATGAACATAGTGGAGCATGTGCCCCTGTTGTATGTTGAAACATCTTTTGGGTATATGCCCAGGAGTGGTATAGCTGGGTCCTCAGGTAACACTATGTTCAATTTTCTGAGATACCGCCAGACTGCTTTCCATAGTGGTTTTAAACAGCTTTCTAACTAACATGCATATGTAAACTCCTGTGTATACACACACTCCAAGAATATGAACCACAGTATTAAGTTTTTTTTGTCTCTAGATGGATGTTTCTAGATAGCTTTGTATCTTAATAATATGTTGTGTCTGTATGTTTCCATTTTTAGCCCAAACTCAGCATGGCCAAGTGCCGGAGGAATGTGGAAAACTTCCTGGAAGCATGCAGAAAACTTGGCGTTCCTGAGGTAACACCAGACTTAGTTCAGATGGCCACGTTTTGATTTAAAAATGTCAGTTTAGCTGTTTGAACCATTGAATAGACATCTTTTTGTTTGATTGTTTTATATCTTTCTTTTTTAGTTTCAAGAGATACCTTCAAATAACTAACATACAATTTTTAAACTCAAATTGTCCTATTGCAGTGTAACTAAAGTAGCCTTACATGTCTGTTCAGTTCTAAGGAAAAGGGGGAAATCAATGATATGAAATGTGAAATCCCAAATGTGATAGAAAAAGTGCTGATATCAGTGACTATAGAGTAGCTCTGAGGAGCACATCAGAATGGGTGGCCTCCTTAGCCTCGGCTGTTTTGCAAAACCCACTAATTGCTGGATTTCATTCCCCATAGATGTGTATTTTAAGATATGAATCAAACTAATGTTCATTAAAAGTACAACAATTGTTGTCATTGGTGACAATGATGCATGTGCCAGTGTAGTGTGCCAACTACTGACATTTTCCGTTTAGCCCTGCAGTCTACTCTAAGCCCGTTTGGCAGTCCTCTGTAGCCTGCCTAATTACACAGTTTACTTTTTTCCTGTCCCAGGCTCAGTCCCACTGGCCTCCTCAGATGGGGACTTGGAGCTTTCAGAGACTTCCCTATTTAATTTAAGATAAAATGACTCCAAGATTTAGGCAGCAGCTGCACAAGTTAAGATGGTCTTTGTTGCTATGGTGAGCAGAAATGAGAAGTTACCTTTCTTATGGCTACTTTATTTCCTAATGATAAAGATAAAGTAACTTAAAAAGCAAACAGTTAAACAAACAAAAAGCCAAAAAACCTCTTCTGAGAGACTCTGAGATCCTGAGTCACATTTCAAAGTATACTACACAAGGTTATTGAAATCTACCCAGCACCCCTGTCTTCCTATCCCCCCCCCATTTTCCTTTATTTTTCTCTCCCTCTTATTTTGGCTTAGGGGGAGGTTAGAAGGATTCCAGTGTTATTTGAGAAAAGGGAGAATAAATTTCAAGTGTTCTTACATCAAGCTCTTTCAGTGAAGAGAAATTTACAATTCTGTTTGTGAAAAACAAAATCTAATTTTTATATACGGGCCACAGTGTCTTGGTGATCACTTCTGCTTTCAACTCTGTTCGTCCGTGCGTCTGTGTCGTTTGTGTGTGTTTGAATAGTGCACAAACATCTTGGCTTCAGATATTTGTGAAAATACCGATTTCCTGATAACTCGATTCTAGCATGGGTTAGTGGGGGCCCCATTGTGAATCGGAACTCTTCAAGCCAATTTCATGTGGTAAACTACGTGTGTCTGCACTGGAAAGCCCTCATGAATTATGAAGGAGCATCCTTGTCACTGTCCCCTGGCTTACCCTGGGGCAAACGGAATGTGAATGCCCCTCTTCACTTCCTGTGAGAAAAAGAAGGAAGGAAGGGAAATTAGATTACCATAAAAAGAGCAAAACATCAGAATTTCTCAAGTATGGCCTACTGTGGTGCTCCTAACAGTGTAGGCAGCTCATCAGTCTCAAGAAGGGTGGAGGCAAGTGAGTAACACTTACAGAGTTCCATGACCCAGTTGGTTATACTTAGTTATTTTTTATGTCGTAAGTGATTTTCAGTAAGCAAAGCGCACATGAGTGGAAAACCAGAACTCTCCGATTGGAAGGTAACGTTCCTGTTCCACTCAAAGCAACAGAACATTCTCGTCTCACAATGTTTCCCTCAAGGGGATGACATGAAGTCCATCTGTTCTCTAAGACTGCATTAGTTCTGTTCTGTGGGAGAATCACTGTTTGGAACTACAGCCTAAAGTCAGCGTACACTGTTTGTGCAGTTTCTCTGGTACACAGGGGTCTGTGCAAGAGCTGAGCAGACTCAGTTAAGTGATTGCATGTGAAGTCCATTGACAGGATGGGAACAGTTTTTACAATTGTTCTTACTTTAACAGTTCATTTTTTTAATAGTTCCCATTCTTCATAAGTCTCCATCAGTCTTTGATATTTGCCCCAAAGTTGGTCAGCGTTTGTGACATCTTTATGTACAATTGAACAGTTGATCCTCAGATCCAGGCTGTGGGCTGTTGATTATCCAGGGAATATGTCTGTGTGGGGTGTGGTAAGGCAGCATTTCAACTCACTAGATGAATAGTAGGGGGTGTGGGTGAGACTGTCATGTGGCCTGTCAGACCATTCCTGTCAGTAGGCTGGGAAGAGTGACTCTGGGCTGGTCTTCGTGCACACATGGCTTCTTTGATAGGCTAGATTTTGAACTGTAGACAGTACCAGGCAACAGCGGTACCCTGTGTGGGGCTAAGACTATGGGCTATATTTGCAGCTGTCTTTGGTGTCTGTGCAAGTGTCACGTTGGCCATTTGGACACTGCTTTATGGGCTCCTAGATCATTCACAATAGAGTCTTTGTATCACCCAAGTGTCTGAGTCTGGTGAAATCTTAGGCCCATGAAGCCATGTATACATCTGAGTTTCCTTTGTCATTTCTGAGTCAGCTTGGCTCTCCTGTCCTCTGGTTTGCATGTACCAGGCTCCCTGTTGCTATCATTCCACATTTGGACTACTTTAGGAATATTACTGATATTCTCTCAGGTTGAGAGGAGTCTTTGATCAATGAAGAATCAAAGATGTCATACAACAGATATTTATGTGGTTCAGTGAGAATGTTTTCACCCAATTTAAAATAAGTAGCCATGGCCTTAGGACTTGGTAGGAATAGTCTTTCTTTAAACAGGGTGCCTGTTTAGAATGGTGCAGGGGAGTTGTATCTTGGTTTAGAAAGGTACTTTATTTTCACAAGTTGAGACATTGACCAGTCAACAGTGGATGTGGGCACATCGTCAGGCAGTGGTTCTTCTTACCTCATTGGCAACCTGGCCCTGTCAGGAGGATGTGAGGCCACTGTTTTCCATCCCAGTTCACAAGGATAGGGTAGATCTCAGTTTTTACACCAAGTGGAGTTAAGAGTGACATTGTGAATTATACTCAGAGGTTTTCTTCTTTTTATCATCTTTTAGCAATTGGACTTGAGTTTTGTAGTGAGATCTTTCTAGTGAAATAGTAAAAAAAAAAAAGCAGTCCTGTATCTCACATGGTGCGAAGGGTCAGGAGGTTCCACAGATGTAATAACTGATCAGAATTTTGCTATCAGATGGCAAATTGAAACTATAGTTTTGTTTCTGCTTTTAGGAGAAATGAGTGTCTTGTTTTCTTCAAGTTTGTCTCACTTGCCCACAAATGAGGACTTTAGTAATCACTTTAAATTGAAACCAACAGTTCTCTGAAGCGTGGAAATAAGATTCTTGGCATGATATTTATTTTCCTTCTGTAATCTTATTGGATAGTTCTGTAGTTGGAGGAAGAAATACGAGCTGGCAGTGTTATTATACTGACTTGTAAGGTCATGCTTTAAATCAACTCCTCTCTTTTTAAAGGTTTGTTTTTCTTTTTAATTGTGAGCACGTATGTGGATCTGTGTGAAGGTCTGGGATATGTGAGTACAGTTGCCTGTTAAGGCGAGAAGAGGGAATCAGACCCCGTACTGCTGGGAGTAAAAGGCAGCTCTCCATCCCTGTCAGTTCTTTTCTGAGTACCATACCCTCACTCGTGTGAGCATCCTCTCCCTGGTGTGTACTTTGTTCCTGCCCTTAGTCAGTCAGTAGCCTTCCAACCTGTCTCCATGCATAGCTGAAAATAAACCATCTTAAAATCACCTTTTTATTTTATTGTAAATATAAGGACAGAGTGTAAATTTAATTTTATTTCAGGTATATTCATTTAGTTGTTTTTTTTTTTTCAAGATGGCTGGGCACCTTTTTTTGTTGTTGTTGGCAATGACTTAAGCGTAGAGGAAAGTTTTACAATAGAGACCCAATTTTGAATAACAGTCAAATTGCATGTGTAGATAAATTAGCTTGACAATATTAGAGCTGCCCTCTACATTTATAAAAATTGATGATTCTTTATTGTATATTTGGAGAGATCTAGAAATCCTCCCATCTGTCTCTTCAACCCACCAGACAGTACCTGGTCACTAAGTTTGGGTTTTACATTTTTAGAGTGATCATCAACATACTGTTCTGTGGTCATTTCAATAAAGATATAAGCATGTTGACTTTTGAAGTTAGATTATCTGTAAGTAAGCACACTACCATTTTCTAACTAGAACGTCTGCCTGGATATGATTAGCTCTTAGAATGTAGACTCTGTGGCACTAGTTGGGTCCTAGCAGAGTTTCTGTTGCTGTGATAAACACCATGACCAAAAAGCATCCTGGGGAGGAAGGTTTGTTTCTTCCTACAACTCCCAGGTAGCGGTCCATCACTGAAGGAATCGAGGGCAGGAACTGGGACGGAGGCTGTGGAGCAGCGGTTCTCGGCCTTCCTAACCCTGCAGCTCTTTAGCAGCTCCTCATGCTGTGGTGACCCCCAACCATAACATTATTTCCAGTGATACTTCATAACTATAATTTTGCTACTGTTATGAATCATAATGTAAATATCTGTGTTTTCCAGGGTCTTAGGTGACCCCTAGGAAAAGGTTGTTTGGCCCCAAAGGGTTATGACCCACAGGTTGAGAATTATCGCTGTGATGGAACATTGCTTACTGACTTGCTTGTTCAACCTCTTCTCTTCTACGGTGGCATAGGCCCATGCCTCCACAGATAATAACATTCACAGTGGACTGGGCCCCAGTACACCAGTTAACAGTCAAGAAAATGTCCCTCAGGCAAGTCTGATGGAGGCAATTCCTCGACTGAGGTTACTTCTTCCCAAGTAGACTTAGAAGCCACCCTAAGTCTACCCATGTCAACTTGCCACAGAAGCATGTGACCTCTTGTCCCCCAAATCTCCTGCTAATATCACAGAATAAAACATAGAATAACTTTAAACACCCCCCATCTTTAAAATTTTCAACACTTTGACAGGCATGGTCGTACATGCCTTTAATCCCAGCACTCAGCAGCCAGAAGCCTGCATATGTTTGAGTTTGATCTA